ATTATCCATGCATGATATAATTTTTATCAATAATACGATGTACTTAACCCATATGCACAGGGACTAAATGGTGACTGGGTTAAATGGAAACATTGGTTTGATTAAGTGACGGGATCATAGATAAATTCTGCCCTTCATTTCTTGCTAATTTTTTGTAATAAGTTAAAATACTATATATATATAGATCCCATACCTGGAAAAATATTCATGAATTTATCATCTTTATATAGCATATTTTAAGAAACATTTTTGCTATGATGATAGTGAGTAACAAGTATCAAATGATAATAGATTATCATTTTATATCTGCCATCTCATTTCATTGGTGCAAAATTAGCAGCCACAATGGGAACCACCATCTGGGAGGTGTTTTGAACAGTGCCATTTAAATTCCTTCTGGAATTTGACATGCACAAGTTATAAGAAAAGATTTGGAGAGAATGGTCCATTTAAAAGGCAACAAAGTGGGCGCCTGGGTGGCTCAGTTGGTTAGGCGACTGCCTTCGGCTCAGGTCATGATCCTGGAGTCCCTGGATCGAGTCCCGCATCCGGCTCCCTGATCGGCAGGGAGTCTGCTTCTCCCTCTGACCCTCCCCCCTCTCATGTGCTCTCTCTCTCATTCTCTCTCTCTCAAATAAATAAAATCTTTAAAAAAATTAAAAAAAAATAAAAAATAAAAGGCAACAAAGTGTCTCAGTTTGGTTACAAATAGCAGTCCTTTTGGAGACGTATGGCTTTCCCAGTGGGGAAGGGTGACACTTAAATCCATCCTCTGAAATGTACTCATAATTTCATGTGGCCTCGGCACTCCACCCCTACCCCCAGCTCCCACTTTCATGTTGCCCTTGATCATCGTCAGTTGTCTCCTTAAAACTGTTACCAAAACCACTGGAACCCCAGTGAAATTATTCATCATACTTTATCATAAACAACCTTGAAGTGACATGTGCCTGCATGTCCCTGCCTCTGCAAGGCATCCCCCCTCAAGGCCTAATTTAGGATGTGTTTGAAGCAATAGATGCCTTTCAAAATCGCTGTTAAAGATCCTGAGGTGTCCTATCAGGCAGAACCTTCTGCGCCCTCCAGCGGGTGCATCCTCAGTAACACTTGTGCAGCCCTCAGTTCGAGTATTACTTAGAGGTAGCTGTTTACATGTCTGCTTCCCTCACCAGATTGCTAGCTCTTTGAGGGCAAGGACTATGCATTCCTATCCTCGTAACCCTGCATCTAGCCCTGGACTGAGAAGTTGGTAGGCTTGAAGTAAATATTTGTTGTATCAAGGAGTTGAGTGGAAAAGCATAGATTTGGAAGCAAGCATATATGGAATCCAATCCTGGCTTTATCTACTGTGTGGTTTGGGGTGAGTTTCTTAACCTTTCTGAGCCTTAGTTTTCCTAAATACAGGTTACAATAGGCAGTTGACAAGGAGTTAGGAGGCTGATAATAGGAAATGTATGAAAAGCATATTGTAGACTCTACATACTCTCTGGTTCTTAGTCCACTGACATAACAGAGCTTTGCTGTTCATCAACAGTGCACCTGAGCCCCGCGCTAGGTGCCGGAGAGCTTAAGAGATGAAGATAGGCAGGTTTCTCCTCTCGGGTTGTGAGTAGTCTAACACTGTGATTTGTCTTCTACATTATTTGGCGTTTTTTTGCTCTCAAGCCTAAACTTAGGGTGGATCAATCACTAAATGCACTGATTGGTTTCATGCTCCTCGTTTCTTCTGCATGGGTCTCCTTACCCTAAATATGAGAGCGTGCCTGGTTTTCCATTGCTCCTCTTCCTCATGCTACACTGTCAGCAGTATTGTAACATCTTTGTTCTCTGCCACATTGCTAATTCTCAAGAACAGTTCACAATTGTGGAAGTGATGATGTCATATCCCAGCAGAATAAGAATCAGGAAAACCTCCTATCCTAAAATTACAAGGTACATACTTTGTTATTACAATTAGATAGCTATTCTTTATGAGGAAAGGCAGTTAATTGAAGTCAGCCACAAGGAGAGTGAATTCAGATGTTTTCTGGGGCACTTAAAAGTATATCCGATGAGACTCTCTGCTCACTGCTAGAAGTGAGCTGATTAGGAAACTTAAAAGACTTGTTAGAACAATGAACTCCTTTCTAAACATTCTTCAAACCCACCTTAAGCAAGGGAGAGAAGGAAAATGGTATCTTAAAGGAACTGCCCAGTGTCAGCTCATGATCGCCTATGTTAATGGGATGATGGAAAAAATCCCAGCATGTGGATAATTTTTAAAAACTCATTTAACTTTGACTTTAAAATACATAGTTAATATTTGGCAATGTTAGGGTGAAAGTAGTTTTTCCCCGCTGTATATTACCTGTTAAATGGTAAGAAGTTGTGTGTGTGTGTATAGTAAGCCTGCATATATATGAGTGCATGTGTGCATGGGCATGCAGTGTTTATAGATTCACAGTCTCTAAGCTCCAAAGGGAAAACACTATTAGCTAGTCAGCATTGCCTTTCAATTAAATGTTGTGTTGATAAATCATTGACCCCGTGTGCCATTGATTAAAGGTTCTCTTGTCTTGAGTTAGGATAGAAGTTTTGTTTTTTAATCAAATATTTTAAGTTCCTACTACAAGCAAAACGTTATGCTGGCGGTGAGGCAGAGATACAGCTAGTCCCTTGACTTTTGGATGTTTGAAGGTTTTCAGGAATCCTCGGAGTCTGGGCAATTTCATTTCCATTAAAAGTAACATGAATCCTTTCAACTTTCACTAGCATGTTGAACCTCCCGCCCATGCTTAGTTCTAGGCCAAATTTTCTTCTCACCCTCTCCCAAGATTTCAGTTACTAACTAAAAATTCTATCTCCCAAATGTGTACCTCCAGCCCATTCATCTGCTTTGAGTATCAGACTCAGTCCCACATTAAATCTCTGCTTGGATGTAGATGGTACCCAAAATTCAGTGTATTTAACTAAACCTGGAAGTGCCATCTGAGTGAAGTTACCACCATCCGTCCAGTTCCATGATACTTCCATCTCCTTCATTCTCTATGTCTAGTCCACCACTAAGTCATGCTGATTTTCTTGGTTAAAAATCCTTTAAATCCACACACTTCCTCCCCTTGTCCATAGTCACCACTCTAGTCTCGATCACCATGATCTCTTGTGTGGGTGACTGGAGTAGGCCACCTCTCCCTGGTGCCCCTTCTTCCCCTCTGGCTCATCTCCAGTTCTCTTTTTCAAAATGCAAATCTGATCAGGTCACCCCCTTTACATAAGACCATTTAGCAAGCTTCATTGCTCATAGACAAAAATCCAGAATCTTCAGCGTGGCCTCCAAGACCTGCATGCCTCCCTTGACTGTATATATTCCTGCCGAAGAGCCTGGAATAATCTTCACCTGATTTCATACGGTTAACTTCTGGCTGCTTTCTAGACCTTACCCCAAGATAAACTTCCACAGGAATGCATCCCTTAGCCCCTTAAACTGCCGTAGTACAGTGTACCTCTCCTTCATAGCACTTACCACAATGTGCAGCTGTGCATTTAGTTGTATGATTACTGATCATTGTCTATCCCCACAGGACTGTAGGTCCACAAGAGTAAGGACCATGTCTGTTTGCTCATTAGTGTATTCCTAGCAGGAGAGCTGGCAGGAGCTTTGTTCTGAAGGATTTCCCAAGCCAAGTTAAGCTATTTGGAACTCATCTTAAAGACAATGGAAAGCTTCTGATGGATTTTAAGCAGGGGAGCAATGTGATTAGATGTACACTTTGGATGAAGTGTAGAGAAATCCAGACAAATACTGCTGAAAGAGAAATGAGGCAGTCACAGTAATGGCGGGTCCTTGCCATTCTTTCTCTATTTTCCTATCCCTCCTTTCTAAATCCAGTGAGGCACATTACCCATAGAACTTCTCAGATGCTTGATCATCATCTAGTCATGTGAATATTGGTTGAGTTCCTCAGTATATGCTTGACACTAAGAATAATAAAATGGTTCTGGCCCAGATGTGTATCCCTAACCCACATCTCCCATTCTGATGGGAAAGACTGTCCAATAAGTAGAGAGTATAATCCAGTGTGGAAAATGCTGCAATGGGAGTTTGAATGGAGTTCTCGAATGCAGAGGAGTTTATAACTAAAACAGTTCCCTGGGGCCAGAAAATGCCTCACAGAGGAGATGGCATGGGAACTAGAATGAAGTAGGTAGGAATGGTGGATTGTGTCAAGTAGAGACAAACGAGGGGGCATTGTAAGTGGCTGGAAGAGCACGTGCAAAGGCCCAGAACTGTGAAAGGGCACAGCATTTGGGGGAATGGCTTTAGCTCTGCAATTTCACAGCTGTAGAGAGAATGTGTGGGGATGGGGATGGGCAAGGTGGTAGAAGATGGCAAAAGACAGGTACATGGGGGCCATATTGTACAGGGCCTTAATTCAGGAGTATGAGTATCATCCTGTGAGTTGCCAGAAATCATGGAACCACTCCTAAAATCTCTGGATTAAAAACCAATTCATGGGCGCCTGGGTGGCTCAGTTGGTTAAGCGACTGCCTTCAGCTCAGGTCATGATCCCAGGGTCCTGGGATCGAGTCCCGTATCGGGCTCCCTGCTCTGCGGGGAACCTGCTTCTCCCTCTCCCACTCCCCCTGCTTGTGTTCCCTCTCTCGCTGTGTCTCTCTCTGTCAAATAAATAAATAAAATCTTAAAAATAAATAAATAAATAAATAAATAAATAAATAAATAAATAAATACCAATTCATGAGGAAGCACTTCATATGAAGGGTCTAATGGTTTATTAGGAAAACAGTGCCTAAGCCAGTAAGAGTAATTATGTCCTGAACCCAAGAAACATAAGAATGATTATGTTCCTGAGAGGTAAACTGGGATCTGGGCCTTTGAAGGAAGAGAGGGACATGGTTCTAGCAAGCTTACCAGGGCCTGCCCCTAGGAGACTGAGTAGTGAGCCAGGCCACACACTCTTGCCTGCTCTGCCATGCCAAGTGTCTGGGTTTGTGTTTTGCAGTTCCATGGAGAATGGGAGGCCGCCGGATCCTGCAGACTGGGCCGTGATGGATGTCGTCAACTATTTTCGAACAGCAGGATTCGAGGAGCAAGCTAGTGCTTTTCAGGAGCAGGTAAGTCTGTCTAGAGAAACCCATGATGAACAGTTACCTCTTCCTCACAGTGGGCAGAGGGAGTGAGGAGGAAGAGGACTGGAGAGCAGGGAGGGATCTGTGAGGCTCTGCATGTCCTCCACATCAAACACCGATCATACCAGAGCACTGAAGAGGGTGGGAAAGGAGAGAAGAAAAGTGACGAGCTAATGACTCCTTCCTGAGAGAGGGGAACCCATGCCCTGAGACACAGTGACAGCTGCAGGAAGGAGGGCTAACGCTCAGTTACATCTGCGTCTTCTGAAAGATGGGACAGCCCTACCCTCACCACAGACACACTGGAAAGCAGAAACCAAGAAGAAAGGGAAGTGAGGGGCAGATCTGACTAGAGACATGCAGCACCATCCACTACTGGCCCAGCACCAACCGAGCTAGATAGCCCCCTCCAATTTGCGTTCCAGGTGCTTAGAAACGTAGAGTGGAAAGAATACAGATTTAGAGTCAAATCCTGGTTCTTCTAACTCTGTGTGACCCTGGGCAAGTTACTGTCTCTCTCTGAGTCTTGCTTTCACATCCACAACATGAGGCTATCAATGCCCAACTCAATAGGGTGGTGGTGTGAGGATTAAGGAACTTTGTCTGTACAGTGCCTAGGGTAGGTCTTGGCACAGTGTTGATGCCCCTCAAAGTGTTAATTCCCTTCCCTCAGGTCCAGGGTTGGTATTGAAAGGAGGGAGTAGGGGGTCCCTCTCCATTGTTGGGGTGATTCCTGACTTCCATTTTTTAGGCTGGGCCAGCTCTGTAAGGATGGTGCCCAAGGGGCTTTAACCATGAGGAAGCACATTGAGGAGGCATGTTGTGGTCCACACCAGACCAGCTCTGTAGGGAAACAGAGATCCTATCTCCCTATCAGTGAAGGCTGCAGTTTTCTAAGCATTACATTTACTTTTCCAGTATTGTCATATAATTGATAGAATTATAAATTGAAGAATGTGTCTGGCTGCTTCTTCCATATCCATTTAGCTCTTATGCTCTTAAGCTGGGTTTGGCTAGGGAAACTTTATATATATATATATATATATAAATCTCCTTCAATATTTTCTTCAAACCTTATATATCTCTCTCTCTCTCCTCCCCCCCAATATATATATACACACATATATAGTTGTTGCTGTTGTTAATTTGGAAAATTTGCTGAAATAGCAGCTTAAATCACTTCACACCCACCAGAATAGCTAAAATTAGAAAGATTGATAAATTTAAATGTTCATGAAGATGTAGAACAAACACATTCTCCTGTATTGTTAGTGGGGATGTAAAATACTCATACATCTACCCCATGATCCAGCAGTTTCATTCCTGAGTATTTACCCAAGGGAAATGGAAACATATGTCCGTAAAAGATCTGTTCAAAATTATTCTTAGTGGCTTTATTCATAATAGTTTAAAACTGGAAGCCTAAGTGTCCACCACTGGGAGAATGTGGTATAGTCACACAGTGGAATATACCCAGTAATACAAAGGAACAAACTAGTAATGTGTAAAGAAGTTTGGATGAATCTCAAAGTATCATATTGAGTAAGAGAACCCTTACACAGGAGTTCTTATTGAACTGTTCCTATCTTGGTCTGTTCAGGCTGCTATAACAAAAATACTATAAACTGGGTGGCTTATGAGCAACAAACATTTATTTCTCACAGTTTCAGAGGCTGCGGATTCCAAGACTAACAAGGCTGCAGACTGGGTGTTTGGTGAGGGCCTGCCTCCTAGACAGCTGTATTTTTGCTGTGTCCTCACATGGAGGAAGGGATGAGAGAGCTGGGGCTCCTTTTGTAAGGGCACTAATCCGTATAATCACCTCCTAAGGGCCCTACCTCCTAACACCATTACCAATTACCTCTAATACCCCCTGGAGATTACGTTTCAACATACGAATTTTGGGGAGACACAAACATTCAGACCATAGCAATTTCATCTAGATGAAGGTTGAGAACAGGAAAATGCATCATTGGTAGCAAGAAGTAAAACAGTGGTTGCCTCTGGATAGGTGGGAGTGGAGAATGGCTGGAAAGTGGCATGAAGGAACATTGTGTGTCTTGATGAGGGTTTGGGCTACATGTATCTGCTTCCAGTAGATGCACTGAGATGCACAGGCATATACAGATGTTACAGGTCTGTGTGCTACATAGCCTCTACATTTTACCTCAAAAGAAAAGGAATTATAAAAAAACATTAAGCAATTAGTAGTATGCAAACTGAAGTGTTTAGGGGAATACACTGATTTATATAACTTACTTTGAAATGCATCAAAATATGGATTGACAATTGGATAGAGGAAGGAGTAGAGGGATAAACATGTGATAAAGCAGTATAGAAAAGGTTAATTGTAGAGTCTAGGGTGGTGGTCATGTGGGTGTTCACTATATGTTCTTAAAACTTCATGTTTGAAAATTTTTATAATAAAATCGGGGGGGGAATCGCTCAGGTTGAAAGGTGAAGGCCTACCAGCTGGAACATATTTTATTTTAGTTTTTAATAGAGTAATATCCATTTGTGTCATTACAGTTGAATAACTCTCTTCTAAAATTAAATTTAAATAATATTGTAAAAGGTTAACCAAAGAAAGGACTCAGCTAAAAGGTCTCTTGGCCCAATTCCCAGCTGCCCAAAAGTGTTTTTCAGATTGGACTTTTACTCAGACTCCTCTGAGGCCGATGTCCCAGACTCGGGGGGAGGGGTTGTCCTTTGGGCCTTCCAGATTCTGTGCAGGACCTGAGAATGGAGCTGGCCAGCTCTGAGCTTGGCCCAGGAGCAGGCCCTTTCTCCCAGGGATGACATCACTCTGGCAAGGCATTAGTGGGAAGCAAAAGGAACAGACTCTCCCAAAGCAATTCATTCAGAAGTCCTTCAAGCAGGCAAAGGGCATCATCTTGCTACTGTGCTGAGCCCAACTCAGGAGCCTGAGAAATGAATTCCCAGGGCACTGGAGTTTTGCAAGCATGGTCTAGAAGCTCAAGCTCCTTCATTCTCATGGAAGGGCAGTTAGGTGGAAGAAAGAGTCTGCCTTAAATTATTCCCTGGAAGTGATCCAAATCTTCTTCTGCCATGTAATTCTCATCATCTTTCCTCTTCTCTTTAAAGGAGGTAGAGGGAGGGCAAGGAGGGAACCACTAGTCAGGCTTAGCCTGGTAAGATAAATAGCTGCTGTGATTTCCATGAGGACTGAGAATCAGGATCCTTTACCAGGTTACCCTGCCTCTTCTGTCATCATGCCTCAGAAAGCTTTATGTTTCACCTTCAAGGATCTTCCTGTCAGTGAACCTCAAGTTCACCCTAGATGGGAAGACCGCCACCCCCAGCCCAAACTGACCCTTTGGAACATGACCCTTCCAGGCACATCTTCTAGGTCACGACAGCAGAGAAACAATAAGGACTACGTGTTGAAATCTCCTTGGGGAAAGCTTTGCCCTGCCATTGGACAGAAACAGCACAGAGCTGGAAACTACCCTCACACGACCTTGGAAAAGGGCAGGTCCAGAAAGGACAGTACCATTGCCAGTGATGTGGGGAGCTTAGTGTCATGGCCGACAGTGGTGGACTGAATGTTTGTGCCCCTCCAAATTCCCAAATTCGTATGCTGAAACCCTAACTCCCAATATGATGACATTATGTGGTGGGCCTTGGGAGATAATCAGATTTAGATGAGGTCATGAATGTGGAGCCCTCATGATGGGAGTAATACCCTGAAGAGAAGAGACCAGAGAGCTTGCTCTGTCTTTCTCTGTCGTGTGAGGATGCAGCGAGAGGATAGCCACCTGCCAGCCAGGAAGAGGGCTTTACCAAGAACCTGACCATGCTCGCACTGTGAGCTTGGACTTCCAGCCTCCAGAACTGTGATCAGAACTTAGAGCTGACTAAAACAGTGGCGTTGATGCTGGACATGTCTACCCTCAGCTGGGCTGACTTTGAGGAGAATATCCGCCTTCCTGGTATGGTCTCACAGTACGATCCTGGATATTCTGTTGCTGTAGCAACCAGACACAGAGGTGGCTTTCTAGTATACCTCCCTGGAAGATATCCGGCCATTGAGTGAGGTTTGTCCAAAGGGCCAGAACGGCATCCCATGTTTCTTTGGTATGAAGCATCTGGTGAAGCTGGTGATCTTTGCATTACCTCCTTTTCTCTGAGCAGGCACACTGCCACATGACAATGATTTCTATTAAATTTCCTTCTGGTGTAATGATCTCTATCAAGTTTTCTTCTGGAAAACCTCTTTTGAGCCTACTGTGCGAGCCACAACTATAAGCCAAAAGAATTGTCGAAAGGGAGGTTCTAACTAAGCCCCTGCCCGGACCCTTGCGCCAGCCCCCATGACCCAGTGTCAGTAGTATGTGTATTTCAAGTTGTTTTACTGTTCTGGCCAGTTGCCTTTAAGACCAATGCTATCCCTCTTCCTTGGTTCACTGACCTCATTAACATAGTGCTCCAGAGGGTTCACTGGCCAGTAGGAGCAGGAGCCAGTGGGAGTCCTTCCTAGAGGAGGCAGTAATGATGACTCTGTCAGTACTCTTTCCCATGGACACCGTGGGGTGATGGCTGTTTTCCCAAGTGTCTTCTGGCAGGCAGATCTCTCATGCTGTGGTGAGTCCTAGTTTCTTTTCTCCTGATTGACACTGGTCACTGGAGGATCCTGAAGAGTTTGCCTTTCTAGAACTCAGATTTCTATAACATGAATGTTGATTTAAACAGACAGGATATTGCTCAGGCTGTTGCTTTAATAGTCAAGTGTTAGCTTAGACCTGGCCTTCATGAAGTATGCTTTCAATGCACAGCACAGAGCACAAAACTACCTGAGATGTTGTATATACACAGTTGAATTTTGGTGACTAGATGATAAAAAATTGACACTTGCCCATACATATGGGTTGCCTGGTTTTCAAGAGTCAAAGGTACTTCAGGAATTTTACTTTCCTAAGAGCATTAGTTTTTAAGAGAACCTTTTGACTAACTTCATTCCAAAG